AAGTGCGGAAGGTGGCCACCAAGGTTTCAGTTGGGTCCTTTCTTCTGGCGCAAGCGGGCGCTGCTGGCCCCTGGGCACAGAGCACTCGCTTCCCCGGTTGGAGGGGTTTCCCAGCAGGATTAGGAGCGAGGTGCAGGGGGACCCATTTTCAGGGCGTTGGGAGACAAATGCCCCGTCACAACCCACCCTGGGGGGGGGGGATGTGCTTGGAGCCCAGCTTCCTCTCCCTTCACCATCGCAGAAGCTGCCTCCCTCCTCCTCATCTTCCCAGCCAGGCTCCCGCCACCTCCTCCAGGAGGCCCTCTGCACAAGCATGCCTGGGCATCTCAGGACCTCCTACCTCCTTGGGGGTCAGCGACCCTCTCTCCAAACACATAACAGTGTAGGTGAGGGCATGTGTCTCTCTTCCTTCCTGTCAGATGCGCGCACACACACACACACACACACACACACACACTGCCTACAACACAGCCAAACCAGGCACCCTAGGCTGGCACATGGCAGAACCTCTTGGTGCCTTCAGCCCCTGGACACCCCAGGGTTCCACCCACAGGTGCATCGGGCCTGGACGGAGCCCCCAGGCTTGGGGCCCTTGACCAGGTGGCAGCCTATCTCTGCCTCTGGGAGCGAGGATGGAGGGATAGGAGACCCTAGAAGACAGATTTCCTGCCTAAGAGGATGTGGACAGAGGGACTGGGCCCTGTTCTGACCCCCACCGCCAACCCAGCTTCCAAACTTCGGTTCTTGGGCATTGCAGCCTCAGAGAACTGAGGTCCGGAGCACAGAGGAGGGAGACCACAAGCTGGCCCAGTGGATGGACAAAGGCTACCTGGGGGTGAGGGGTGAAGAAAGAGCAGAATGTGGACAGGATGCAGAGGAGGGAGGCCTGGGCTGAGGGAAGGGGGACACAACCCAGCTGCCTGAGGCCCCTGGATGCTGGTGGTGGGACTCGATCTAGAGCCTTGGACATGGTGGGCTATGGCCAGAGATTAGACCCAGGCTGGCGACCCACTGGGCCAGGGAGGGAGGAAGGGGAAGAGGGTTGACTAGAGGCCCCTTTGAGGCAGCCCGGCTCTCCCCAGCATTACTTCCTGAGTTTTCTCATCTTACTTTTGTCTGAGAGGAGTCCAGTAGCTGCCCTAAACTTGACCAACCTAAATGTTGGCCTTCCAGTGGCTTGAACCCTCCACTCCACACGGCCTGTGGCGCCCGTCCTATGCACAGAGCTCTGCCTTTTTAAAAAAATATTTTTTTTATTAATTTCAGAGTGAAAGGGAGAGGGAGAGAGAGATAGAAACATCAATGATGACAGAATCACGGATCAGCTGCCTCCCGCACGCCCCCCACTGGGGATCAAGCCTGCAACCCCGGCATGTGCCCTGACTGGGAATCGAACTGTGACCTCTTGGTTCATAGGTCGATGCTCAACCACTGAGCCACACTGGCCAGGCTAGCTTGGCCTTCTTTTACTTAGTTCCTTAGGGTCGATTCCCAAACGTGGCCAGAGAGTATGAATTTCCTTCTAGCTCTGGATGCATATTACCAAATTAATTTCCAAAAGGGCCAACAGAGAATCCTCCAGAAGCAGCAACAGAGCAGCAGGCCGATTTCACAGCACCCTTGCCAGCACTGGGTGTTCTCATTTTGAGAACATTTTACTAATGTAATAAGTGGGAAGTGTTACCTTGTTTTCTGTTGTTACCTTGGTTTTTTCATTTGGTTTCCTTCCGTGCCTGAGGTTGAACCTTCCCCGGAGCCTCTTGTACCCAGTTGGGTTCCCTCCTTCCTGCAGTCTTTTCTGGTGGCTCTTGCCCATTTATCTCTCGGAGTCTTAACCTTTTGATCAATTTGTATGAGCTTTATCTTTGTTGTACATTTCCCCTCAACTCAGCTATTTCCTTCAGACGGGTTTTAAGCAGAGAAGGGACATAGAATCAGACTTTTCAGAAACCTTCCCCACCTCGTTTCATTGTCTCAGTACTTATCACACGTGGTATTATCGTGTTTGGTCCCCTATTACCTACAGACCTGTCCCCCTAGCCTGGGAGCTCTGTGCAAGCAGAGACCCTGTGTGTCCGCCTGGTCATCATCCTGTGTGCACAGAAGGAATGGAGGCCAGTGGCCTTTGCTGAACGAATGTTCTAGTACAGGGCAGGCAGAGGGTAGCTGAGATAAAAAGACCTGGAGGCAGGGACAGAGCTTTGCAAGCTGTGACGGTGACCCGGTCAAGAGCTGGCAAGCGCAAACCCTTGGCCAGAGCCAGGCAGAGAGGAGAGTACAGATGTGAGACTTAAGTAGAAATTACTCACTCTTGACTAGGCAGGAGGCAGAGGGAGAGGCTGGGTGACTCCCAGAATCGGTAACATGATAAGACCAGAGCGCTACAGTTGGGAGCTGGGAGCTGGGAGCTCCTGGGTGCCTTTGGCCAGGCCTGTGTGAAGGAATGAGGGTGCCCAGAGGCTGGCTGCCCTCTGCCTGCCGGGCCCTCCACTCAGCCTTGGGCAGGGTTCTGGGCCAGGAAGCAGCAATGGGTTTCTGGTCCCTGTTCCCCTCCCCCCCCCCCAGATTTCAGTGACACCCCACGGTAGCCCAAGTGGTGGCTCTGGTGAGCCCACTATATAGATAGGGCCACTGAAGTCCAGTCAGGGAACATGATGGTCCAGGGTCGCCAAGTGAGTAGGCAACCTCTGGGGCAGGGGCACTGGGCTCTTGTCCCCACCCCTCCCCCTGCCTCCAGGGGGCCTGACTGGCGCCGGCCAGGGGAGCTGTGGCTGGCCCCCTGCAGGGCCCCTGACCTGCCCTTGGCCTCTGCCCTGGCCAGTCCCGCTTGGGTGGAAGTCCCAGCTCAGCGCGCGACTTGCAGGGGGCCCACCCGACTGCTTTCGCTGGCACCCGTTGGCTAGCTCGACCCCTGAGCCCGCCCCCATAGCCCCGCCCCTCCAAACGGTAACTCCTTGTCCAAAGGCAGCCGCTTCCAAGGTGGAAGCCAGGTCCTCTGCTAAGCAGCCAGCGCGCCTGCGGCTCAGGACCTTTGTTTCCACGTGCGCGCCTGCTCCGGGGCCGCACTACCTTCTTCCCAGAGGCCAAGCCCGGGGACACCCTGTCCGAGGACCGCGCTCCGAGTCCCGCGGTGGCCCTGGCCGAGGCATCGGCACAGGGCCACCCGCGGGGGGATCACGACTCAGGTCTCTCTCCTTTTCTTTTCCCGGGACTGGCGGGGTGGGAGGCTGGGGGGGGGGGGGGCGTACCAGAGCTGGATCGGCTGCGAAAGGGCCATCGCCTTCACCCCACATCTATTCCCTGGGCCCACCTGGCCGTGGGGGAGACCTTGATCTTCAGCCCCTCTCACTCGCACGCGCCCCCAAAGTCTGAAGCGCGAACTTGGGGAGTGATTCCGGGCAGGCCGAGAGAGAAACTCAGAAACAAGGAAGGTGTGAAGGAAGGCGGCCGTGCGTGGCTTTGGGACACCCCAGGAGAGGCTGGGAGGGAACCCACGGGTCTCAAAGGGGCCGTGGGATGCCCAGCTTTACTCTTCTGGGGGGTTTCTCACACTTCCTTTCTCGGGGCGGTGAGCGGCGACGGGGCACCCAGGTGGCTGTCTCGGGTGTTCTTTTGGGGCGCACAGTGCCTTCTGCGTGTCCTCACTGTGGGAAGGGCGCGAGCAGAGAGAATCGAGCGGTGGAGGGGTGTCCCTGCGGGTGTCCTGGGCGCCTGCCTTGGGGCACGGGGTTGACTTCACATCTTGACTCCTGGGCTCACGCCCTATGGCAGCCGGGCGGGGAGGACTCCGGCTCACCACGCGTGTCTCCCCTCTCTCCGCAGCGGCAGCTCCAGCGCCAGCGCCAGCGCCAGCGGCCCGACGTGCCAGCAGCCGCGAACCCATGGAGGGTCTGGGCCGCTCGTGCCTGTGGCTGCGCCGGGAGCTCGCGCCCCCGCAGCCGCAGCTGCTGCTCCTGGACTGCCGCAGCCGCGAGATGTACGAGTCGGCGCGCATCGGCGGGGCGCTGAGCGTGGCCCTGCCCGCGCTGCTGCTGCGCCGCTTCGGCGGGGAGCCTGTCC